AGAGATGTTCGGCTACTCAATTGATAAATAGATCTCACAGCTCTTTTTTGTAAAATGAATATACTTTCAATATCAGCTGCTGTTCCCCAGAGTAAAATGCCGTATGATAAGATAATATGAAAGTAACTAAAATATACAGTCCTGGCAGTATCTATATCAGTAAGTTGTCTTATCTTTCTTATGGCATAAGCTGCTGAACTAAGTTTACCAGCCAAAAGCGTAATGTGATGACTCCATTGCAGTTTTGAGTCTATCGTTATACCCAAGAATGTAGTCGAGTCTACTAAATCTAATTTTTCATTATTTAATTTAATTCCAATATGCTCAACTTTTACATTAGGTAAGGAAAATTGAATACACTTGGTTTTATTAGCATTTAGCTTTAAATTATTGACATTAAACCATTGCAGAACTTGCGAGAGAGCATTATTCACATCGTCATAGTTGTTTTTGCGCCTGTCAACGTTAAATAATAAAGATGTGTCATCAGCAAATAATACAATCTCACACAAATTTTCCACAAAAAATGGCAAATCATTTACATATACTAGAAACAGGAAGGGTCCTAAAATTGAACCCTGGGGAACGCCCATTTCCACATGAGATCCAGATGATCTAACACCATTTACCTCTACAGTTTGTATTCTGGAACTGAGGTACGACTGCATCAATTTATATGCAGCACCTTTGACTCCATAATGACTCAATTTCAATAACAGCGTGTGATGATCAACGCAATCAAAAGCTTTGGATAAGTCGCAGAACACTCCAAGGACATTCTGCGACCTCTCCCAAGCCTCCATCAAACATAACTAGTCCGCCATCTTGTATATTCCGCCATATTGAATTTAGAATGAAGTCACACAGTTAAACATGCTTTGTTCCAAGCTAAATGTGTGTACGAAATTTCAGCTCAATCAAATGCAGACATATGCTAGAAAATTGAGTTGCATTGCAAGATTCCACAGGGGGATGATGCAGTGAGAGGGGGATGATGGAGACACCCCATCAAACATGCTTACATTGCAAGTTAAATAAAAACTTTTAATAAACATTGCCGCGATGTAGTAAGAACCAGCGCCATCTTTTAGAAGCACTGATAGTTATTTTTTTAATGAAATTACGTTGATGTATTTCTGTGTGGCTTTAAATTGTAATAAGTTTTGATGGAAACCTAAATATAGCACTCGCGCAGTTGTCTGCCCTGAACGAAACCACCACCCGTTTGAGTCCTGAAACCTAACTCATCGAAAAAAACACAATACCACCAAAAGGTAGTGTTATTTTAATGTGGTCTTCTGTAAGGTAAATAAATAAATAAATCTCTGCCCCAGACGGGCGCTCTAATTCGAGCGGAAAATCCGCTATGGCCTACCTCACTCGATATTGATAATGAATAAACACAGATTGATTATTTTTAATAGGCACTGTAGAATTAACACATATTTTGTCCAATAGCAGTATATTAATCTATTAGGCAGTAGATAATAAAGCAAACCATTCCAGGATATATTTTCTTAAAAGAGAAATTGAAAAGAAAATCACAAAATAAAACAAATCGAAAGTCAATTAGACAATATAATTTATTTATTCCATTAAATTTAGAATATCTTCAAAATTGTCACATAATTATAAAAATAACGATTTTTCTAAGATATTTTGTACAGAGCAAGCCTCAGCTAGGTACCATTACAATTCTTTTCTGTCACCATTATTTTCCACATGAAAATAACATTTCGTATATTCCTTAATATTTATTTAATCGTGTAGATAATATTGTGTTGATCATTTATAAGCATGAGCAACTTCAATTTATGATAATTTATGAAATTAATGCATGCATATGAGGTTAAAAGGAAAATCACAAAAAATAATGATATTAATGATTTGATATGAAAATCCATATTTACCAATCATATCATGGATGATCGATCGATAACATTTCTTTGAATTTAAAATATTTTTTGTTTGATAAAATTGTTTGTACTGAAATACCACAACAAAATACAGAAAAAGATAAATCTTGCCTTCTATTATGTACTAAATATTATGGAGGACATGTTTGTTTATGGATGGAGTAGTATGATTACTATGCCTCTTTTCAATTTCCATTAGTGACCATAACGTCCTCCCATAACCTCATATAATATATTGATTGTGTCAGTAAATCAATGATTTGTTGATGAGTACCTGATTGATTATACGCCTAATATTTTTTAAGGTATTTTGTTGCAAATTTTAGTTTGTATCATTTTTGCACACGTTTGAGAGATTCATGTGTGTCTGTCTATGTCATAATTTCCTCATCAATCATAATCAAATTAAGGCAAGATTTTGTTTCCATTTTATTTAAAATTTCTTTTATGCTTGTCTAATATAAAACAGAGATAGAGATCAAGCCAGAATGAAAAATGATGAGTAGATATTCAAATTCGAGTTGCATCTCTTTCTCGCTATAGGATACATATCTATTTGACAATAAAGGATGAAACTATGGAAATCCCACGCGTTTTAATTGTAATATTTTCAAAAATTATGCGGTCTGAATTAAGAACGATACATATAAAGACGACTACGAGTACTCTCTGTACTTTTTTACCATCGCCGGTCGGATCTATCCGACAAATATTTTCGTCGTATTTATCCGACAGTTGCACCTACTATTTATCGTAGGCAATATCACTATACGGTGTTAATCCTCCTTAAGCTTAAGCTATTTAGTTAAACTAGAAAATACATCGTGCTAGCGATGTCAGTTCACTCCAAACTTAGTTCAGTTTGAATTTGCCAGTTTTGACTAACCTGCAATTTAGTTTGGTATATTGTAGCAAGCATAAAGATTAATGCGCAATTTAGAGATAAAAAACAGTCAAAATCAACACTTCTTTAAATATTTATTCATTTGCTTAGTCAGAGCACTCTTTACTTAAGTAATAAAAATGACGTTATCGGCATTTTTCATTAATCTGTCTATAAGTTGACAAACTAATTCGCACTGGGCCCGTGTGGTGGATCACGGCCCAGTCTCCCTGTACCATCCATAGGGAAAGCCTGTGCCCCAGCAGTGGGGACTATAATAGGTTGATGAGGATGAAGTTGACAAAATGTTGAAAACCACCAAGCTAACAAATATTGACTACATTAGATACATAAACAATATTTATACTAAAGCCGAATGCATTAGATCTTAATGAACAAACCAACATCAGATGATTTTGGCTACATTTTCTAGATTCTTTTCGTGCTGACATATGTACACAATTTCACACAATTACGAGAGTATTATCTACACACAATTTTTAAATAATCCAAAATATTTCACTGCCTTACATTACAGGTTTAGCCTAACTTCTGGTTACAACAATATTTAAGAGCGTCATTTTATTTATTATTGTTGTTATATGTGGACGGTTCAACAAATAAATTATTATGTCATTTTGCTGTGTATCGTATTTAATCACATAATTTACATACATAAAAATGTATTGCACAATGTAAAATAAAAATTATAATGAGTAATGTAACTAATTAAACTAGATTATACTGAAAGGAACACAATAGATACTTAATGCGAGCATGCATAATTATAAAATAAATGTAAAATAGATATTACCATTTACTCGAATGAATGAAAATTACCTAAAAGCTACGTATTCTTATAAATATCATAAAGTGTATTACTTTTTATATAACAGTTTAGATGAAATGCATGCAAAATCGCAGCACTTACCTTTAAAAGAGAATGAATACTAGTCTGATAGTTTTAGCAGCCCAAAAGTATTAACTAATAATAGTTAGCTCCATTGTCGTATGGACAAAGGAATCGTTGTCTAAACAGCCATGATACAGACTGTATAGTGTATATAGTATATATGTAGTATAGACTGAAAAAAAATAAAGAATATGCTTGCTAGGCAGTTAACAGCAAGAGCTTAAAAAAATGGCTTAATACATTTTATTCCGAAGTTACAGTTCCTAAAACGTTGTCAAAGTGCAACAAGTCAGAATAGTATGAAAATTGATATTTAAGAATCACCTTTTACCTCAAGCGAATAGTGTAGCAACTGAAAACAACTGCTAGGCAATCTATATAAAAGTGAGCCAACGACTTTCGTTTTTAGTCCAGTCGGAATAAACATGAGACCTATTCTAAGACACCAGCGCTTAGCCAATTTTTTCTTAGATAGTATAGACCCCCACGAATATGCCCTCCATTTGTCCCCGCTAGAACCCGTGTTTTGTAGCCAGGAAAATTGTTTAAACAAAAAAAAAATCGGTTTTTTTGAGTTTTTTTGCTTGTAAACGGGGATTTTGAAAATTTTTTTGAATCAAAGTTGTTCATTAGCTTGCCCTCTACAAAATCAGTTCTATGAAAAAATAACGTGAGATTGTTAGTTTAGCAGTAAATTGCAATTATGTCGGTTTTACGTTTGCAACAATTCAACATGTTATAATAAACATTTTGATTTCTAAAGTAGTTTATCATGTGGGTAACGCCACTCCCAAGAGAGTCATGTAAAATTTATCGACCTGTGTCGCAAACTTTAGCAACAATTCTCAATCTCCGAAAAAAAAGTACTTGCCTGTCCCGTCTTTCCCGGAAGGCGCACAGCGGGGAAAAAAATTCAGGTGATTCGATTCACCAAGAATTTTGAGGAATCGATCGAGTAGAAAAAAATCGTTAATAAAAATGTTCGTTTTTGGACGATTTAATTTTTTTTTTTAAAAATGACGTATAATATATTTTTTTTAAACTAATGTATTTTTCTCTCCTCAACTCGAATATACGATTGAAAATTTAAAAAATTCAGTTTATTTATGTACAGAAATTATTTACAAAACTATTAACTAAAATTCGATTACAAGACTGCGTTGTATTCTATATTTCTAATTAAATTAATTTCGTCCTTTTTTCTTCCGGTTCATAATCGGAATTCTCAGGGTATATTAGTATTATATATATTATATATTATATTGATTATATATATATATTCAGAATAGTATATTCGAGTTGAAGAGAGAAAAATACATTAGTTTAAAAAAAAATATTCTACGTCAATTTTAAAAAAAAAATTAAATCGTTCAAAAACGAACATTTTTATTAACGATTTTTTTCTACTCGATCGATTCCTCAAAATTCTTGGTGAATCGAATCACCTGAATTTTTTTTCCCGCTGTGCGCCTTCTGGGAAAGACGGGACAGGCAAGTACTTTTTTTTCGGAGATTGAGAATTGTTGCTAAAGTTTGCGACACAGGTCGATAAATTTTACATGACTCTCTTGGGAGTGGCGTTACCCACATGATAAACTACTTTAGAAATCAAAATGTTTATTATAACATGTTGAATTGTTGCAAACGTAAAACCGACATAATTGCAATTTCTTGCTAAACTAACAATCTCACGTTATTTTTTCATAGAACTGATTTTGTAGAGGGCAAGCTAATGAACAACTTTGATTCAAAAAAATTTTCAAAATCCCCGTTTACAAGCAAAAAAACTCAAAAAAACCGGTTTTTCTTTGTTTAAACAATTTTCCTGGCTACAAAACACGGGTTCTAGCGGGGACAAATGGAGGGCATATTCGTGGGGGTCTATACTACCTAGGAAAAAATTGGCTAAGCGCTGGTGTCTTAGAATAGAAGTCGGTCCAAATTATGGCTATTCCGACTGGACTATTATTGTTAAGAATTATTTTATTTTAGTAATAATATGTATTACACAGTTTATTATACTGTTAAGTGTTTAGAATACGTAGCTTTTAAAAACGTATAGTTACTACATTGGTTACTTTGCTTTGTAGTCACTCTTAGTGCTTCGTAATAAAATTGCTATTGCAACCACTTAAAAGATTCCTAACTGTAAAGAATAATGAAATGACCAATGATTGAAGCCCAGCCCAGATCTTTGGCTTACAAACAACAGTGGTAACGTTTACAAAATACTAAGAAAAAAAAAGCTTAGTGTTATAAATTTGTGAATTTAGACTAATCACGGAAATTGAATATACTTATGATTTGTCGTCAGTTCTCATAATTACTAAAAGGATGATAACTTTTTTGCTTTTACACAATAATATTCTGTAAAATAGTAAACGTGAAAAAAATACATAGTTATATAAATTTATCATACTGCAATTCAATCACTAGTAGACTAGTAGTTTGACAAAAACTTATCCTCATTCAGTTTGAATAAGGATAAGCTTTTGTCAAAGACCTAAACGTGAAAAAAATACATAGTTATATAAATTTATCATACTGCAATTCAATCACTAGTAGACTAGTAGTTTGACAAAAACTTATGCTCATTCAAAGTTTGAATAAGGATAAGCTTTTGTCAAACACTAGTGATTGAATTGCAGTATGATAAATTTTTGTATGATAAAATTGTGTCTTTGAATTTGAAAGACACAATTTTATGAAAATCCATTTATAGTGTCTCAGCCTTGTTGAAAAGACATAACATTTGAAATGAGATAGTTAATATCAATAATGCTGAAGTTGCCTTAAATAACAATTAAAGCTTGCGCAAATTGAATTTGAACTTGAATGAATTATTATGACTTTCAAAAAATCAAACGTATTGAAATCATGTACAGACAGCTTTAGTTACCCAAAACTTTCAATATTTTCAATATAATATTGAGCTTTATGACGCTTGATATAAGATTCCCAATCTATTGAAAAAAATTGTCAATTTTTGGTAACTTGTTTTGTAGCTCTCTGTACAATCACGATTTATACATACGTTTTATTTATATTTGAAAATAGTTCTGCGTAATAACAACACTTCAATTGAACCACATGTCACCACTAACACTAAAATGGTTTTTACGTCTTAGTCATCAAATCTTAGCTTTTTATATCAACGTATTACGTTTTTGTAACTATTACAATAAGTCGTCAACTAATTTGAACTTTATAACACTAAACGTTAAAGGTTTCAATTCCCTGACCTCTGAACGTACTATTTAATGTTGGTGGTGGTTTCTTATGGTATAAATTCAAGTATCATACATATATTTTTTTAATAGAGTTTGTGTTATCTTTCGCATCATTCGCTTATTTTTATATGAAATTATTTCATCTAATAATTTTAACGCTAAGAGGTTTACCGTTCTGATTTACATAGACTAGATACATAAAGGCACAAAATTAGCAATATCAATACTATAATAAACTAATATTATTAAAATACTAATATTTGGCTTTTTGAATACTATAAAATAAAATATACAATACAGCATTATAATAATCAGATCAAATTTTGTTGTAAGTCGTTTGAAAAAATTGTTATATTTAAAGTACTAAGAATAAAAAATACAATGCATACACAGAAAGAATCGACTCGGAGAAATAAGTTTAGAAACATGACGCAGGAATTCGATTATAAATTGAGCAATCGATTGTAATTTATTCGAGCTATTAGATGCTATTGTGTTTATTCTATTAGTCAAAAAAAAATATAATTATATCTCATTAGAATTAATGATAGTGTACTGTAAAATCTTTGTGTGTTTATTCGTACAAATAACAGTGACTATGAATATTGTATATGTCTCAACGTAGCCGATGATCACAAGACAGCTTTATTCTAAGTAAAGCGAGTACGCGCCTTAGGCAAAAACAGACCATATTTCTTTGTCATTTGAGACTAATCCTGCTTATATCTAATTTTGAGATAGAGTTCAGAAAATATGTCATTTTGCGAAGTGTAAATTATCTTGAGATCTTTTAGTAATAATATTTTTTGCGTATCTTTAAAGGATACCGCTGGATTTAGCTTTCTAATTCCGTTATGGGTTAAGATTTCAGTGATTTCTATTTGTGACGATTGTGTATGGAGTCATGGACGTTTGTTGATAAACATTATTCAATTACCATAATGAAAGCTTTGGTTAAGACCACTCAATAATAATAAATTGGTGTGTATTCATAAGGCAGGCACGCTTTGCATAAGGGCGTTGCTCAATCTAAATTAAAACTAAGCGAATCTTAACTTTATGACACTTGTGTGTAAGAACGAAAACCCCTTGAGCGTAATCTATTGGCTACTTGATTTAGAAAAATATCTATATGTATCTAAAACTATATTAACGTGTCGACAAATATCATTATACTATATGAGAGCTGGTTAGGATTTCTAGGTGGTTGGGATCCCATTACCTTGGGTCCAAGGATGTTGGTCTGAAAGAAAGGATAGAGACGATTAACTCTAAATGACTACTACTAATGTAAATAACTGTAACTACATACATTTACACATATTATACAGAAATGACAAAGCATTAAAAATGAAGCAACTGAAAAAGTCAAACAAATTATAATTACATCATTTCTATAGGTTGAATTTAAGATGTTATTCAAAAACATTAGAGACAAATTGTCAGCACATTATCTTACACCAGTTTCTGAATCTGTAGTGTCCATCGATTGCACATGGGAGATCATTATTTATGTATGTTATTCGACAATATTGAACTATTTAAAAATTTCCCAAACAAAGGTTACACTTTAGATATAGTACAGCAATAAATTAAAGCTTTGTATGCACTATATGTTATATAATGTATATAATATTAATATGCACATATATCTTATTTTTATAAAAGCTGGCCACCTTCCATCATTACATCTTCGTCTTTAACTATCCTTTAACTTGAAGATTGTTTGGTAGAGATCGCTTTTAGCGTTAAAACCACTTTTACCCACCGTTAGCTTACTGTTTGTTTTTGTAAGCCCTATCAATGTGTAAATGTCAATAATAAAGCGTATATGAATCTATCAAGCCATAATACTATGAAATTTTATGGGTTACCTCAAGTGTCAGCCACGGATTGGTTGGCGAGCGAGCCATCCCACGCCGCTTCCTTATGTAGGGCCGCTTGACGTTTCTTCTCTGTAAAAATAATTGTGCTTTATTTTAATCAATTTTAATATTAAAGGGATACTCCAAAATTTCAATTAAACAAATACAAATTATAAATCAGCATTTTTTATTTTTGTTATATTGAATACCGCCCGCGACTTTTTCGCTTTAACTGTAGTTTTTGAGTATCCCAAAGTAACCTGATTTTTTTCTCATTCGAGGTCATAAACCACATTTCATCCTTTCAGTAGTTTTCGTGTGATTGAGTAACAAACATGCAAACTTAAACATTTATAATATTGATACGGAAACAGAGGAAAATTAATATTTCTTGACCAACAAAATGCATATCGTAAGTGGCCCCGGGCGCCAGATTTTACGCCCCTGTAAAACATAAATAGGGTAATAACGACGATTATAATAAATATTACAAAACAATAAACATACAAACAGAGGAGCGTGATGGCGCAGCCGGTTAGCTCGTTCGGTTGCGATTGCGGTTATTGTAGTGAAGCAACTTTCGCAGTGGTTGGTTATTGGATGGGTGATCAAAAATTTACTATCTCGAGCTTCTCTGTGCTTTGGAAGGTACGTTGAGCCGTTGGTCCCGGCTGCGTTTACATTCGTTAGCACCCCCCAACCCGCACTGGTTCCGCGTGGTTGGTCATGGCCCATCCATAGAGAAGGCCTGTGCCCCAGCAGTGGGAACATTAATAGACTGGTGATGATTAAAACATACGAAATATTCTTTTATACTACACCTGCTTGGAAAGTGCTTTAGTCTTGTTTTAAAAATGAAGCAGAAAGGACCTCATTACTGTGGTACTACTAAGCTGACTGGAAAAGTGTATGGAAATAAAATTATAACGCGCTGAACGGGCAGAAAAGTCTATGAAAATTCATTGTTAACGTGCTGTTTTTGATTATTATGTTCCGAAAAATATGATAATGCAGATTTTGTAATCTATTTTTTTAACAGTATACTATTTGCTTTCTGAATTAATTTTGAAAAGGGAACAAAAAGTTTTAGTTTTTTAGGTGTTTTTAATTGTTTTTTCCTATCTACGCGATACGGCGTATATTACCAATAATGAAGATTTATTGACACCGCTAGAATAAAAAGAAACTACCTAAGCAGTCATTAAGAACCTTAACCATTAAAATCAAGAAACTAATATAAAGCTCTCGTGCAAAACTTTAATAACTATAACAACTTTAATACAAATTAAAGAATTTTTAATTAAAATTTAAAAGTCTTTTAGACTTTTATTTCCCTGTAGGTATAGTATAAAGCACTATGTATCCCTCGAAAGAAAGTACTATTCCTAACTTGGGTGTATTAAGGCCCTTGGCTAAAACTACACCCTAGTTAATAATCGATCACTTTTTCTCTCGGTGAACAATGTACTATTGCTAAGCGCTTAAGCTGGAAGTGTGCTAAATTGCCAAAGTTCAACCTTATCATCATAGTTATAAAGATCACGACTTTGATTAGTTCGCAAACAGACATGGAAGTCTGTAAATTATGTCATGCAGTTCTTACATAAACTACAACAAACCTGAAAGCATTACTCGTCGACAGATACACATTTTGTCCTTGATTAAGATTTTCAGGGCTCCGCGGGGATAGTGATTGGGTTCAAGTCGCCATAGTGCTATTAGCTGGAGGGGCAAAATTTCCTACTGCGTTGGCTACATTCGCAACTGGATTACTTAACGAATTCGAAATAATATGGAATACGAACTGCACTAAAAAGTGGTTCCACGCAAACTGAGATCAAGTGGACGGGGCGAAAAAACTGCGAACAACACGCCGATCATGGGTTTTTTGGGATTTTAGTTTTAAATTATCTTACCCAATGAATGGATAGTCGAATTCATTTGCAGTTATTTGATTTGTCAAAGCATTTTGTTTTATCTTGTGTGTGTCGCGTTAGTGTTGAAGTTTAGTTGTGTGTGTTGGAACCATGTTTTAGCACCCTTTGTTAGAGAATAATGCTTCCATATCATTCGTGTTGACTGGACTCCACTAACACTTAAAATCAGGTGTGTGTTAAATTGCTGTAAATTTAACTTTAAAAAAATCTTCAACCACTAGCCGTCTAGCTGGCGCCCAACGTGGGGAAATACTACGAAGTCTACTCAGGTAATTCCCTCTTCGCACTCGGTTCGTAACCGTAGTCGTATTATAACGACGCAACGCCTACGGGGCCTATAGTGGTCTACAAACTAATCAGTGAGTGGAAGCATTGTTTTGAAAGAGCTCAGTAGAAAGCATGGCGTTTTTGTAATTGAAAAAAAGTATTATATTACATTATTAAAGTGTCCAGTTTAATTTTGCGGATATTTCTGCCTTTTATTATCATGATCATTCCTTGAATATTCACATATTTAATGATTATACAGGCTGTCCTAAAACGTTGGCATGTAGAATGAAATCCTTTAATTATTGTAGATAGAGACAGAGATTATTAAGGCGATACTTTTCGGAGTACACGTTGCTGAACTAAGAAAAGTAGCTTGCTATTTAGAAATTAAATAATACTTTGACTTCATAACCCTGTATAAAAAAAATACAATAATAAGCATCGCTTGTAAAATTAGAAGGTTTCCCTTTTGACAATGGTTATCACGCCCAATTCTATCCGAGCACCAATAATGATGTGCACACGTTCAGCCGCTGACTGAGTGTGTACAAAAACAACGTGCGGCATAGGTAACGACAAACATCTTGAGCAAAAGCATTGACAAATACACTTGCGCAGTAGACGTTTTTTTTTTTGCAGAATTGCTACTATGCAGGCTTGTCTTTGTATTATTATAAATATTATGCGCGCGGAGCTGAGCCGCAGGCCAAGCATACCCGACACCAAGCGCCGCACCAGCGGCGTGCACGTCTCCGGCCGCTGTGTGATCAACAACAGGGGGCGGTACTTAGCCACACGGCCAGCGCGCGAAACACCAAGCGCCGCGCCAGTGCCGTGCACGTCTCCGGCAGCTGTGTGATCAACAACAAGGGGCGGTACCGCGGGCGATGGTGATGAGGCGGCGCTCCTCGGCCCGTTCCTGGCGCGCGGTGCTGAGCCGCACGCCCAACGCACCTGACACCAAGCGCCGCGCCAGCGCCGTGCACGTCTCCGGCCGCTGTCTGCAACAGCAAAAACACTTTAAATACCTACCTACATCTAAATATATATAAAAAAAAGAAACCGACTGACTGACATATTAACGCACAGCCTAAACCGCTAGTTCTAGAGACTCCAAATTTAACACGTAAGTTCCTTATGATGTCTAGTAGGCTAAGAAAGGATTTTTCAACTTTTTTTGTACCCCCAAAGGTGATAAAATAGAGAATGAAAGTTCGTTTGAAAAATTATTCCTTGAGTTAATAGACTTCAAACTTGGTACGAATACTTCTCTAAATAAATGGCAAGTTTTGATTGGCCAAGTCTCCATTCGTCCGGATATCCCCATTCGCTTGTTTATCTCGCCGGAGTTAAACAAACATAAAGTTTGCCTGAACTACACAGGAATACAGGAATAACTATGATTTATTAACAGAAGAACAAAAGTCAGCATACGAACAAATGGTAAGAAGTGTGAATGCAAGAGAGGGCTAAATTATTTTTTTAAAAGGCTCAAGGACCCTATTGAATTTGATATTGGGAAAAATAAGGGTCCCACGTGATATTGATCGAACACTTTGCCACTGAACCTAACAAGTGTGGACCTAACAACTCCATTATGTAATATTTCAAAACAGAGCAAATTTGCAGAAGTATTGAGAAAAACTAAAATTATTGTCTGGGATGAAAGTACTATGAGCCACAAAAAGGACATACGCAGCAACAAGTTTGATGGGTGGTTTGACTGTATTGCTGGCAGGAGACTTTTGTCAAAATCCACCAGTAGTTCCAAGGGGAACATGTGCCGATGAGATAAAAGCGTGAATTCAAAGATCATTATTGTGGCCCTCAGTTAAAATATTAAAATTAACAAAAACATAAGAGAGCCTACCTTGGAGGTGATGTTTCCGCTAGTAAATTTTCGGCTATCTTTTGCTATTACCTGTCCCGTCTGTGCACTTAAGTAACAACATTTGAAAACCTGATTTCAAAAATTTATCCTCATGTTGCGCTCATCTCGGAAAAAATAATAGAGTGGTTATGCGGCAGAGCTAGACTAACCCTAAATAACGACCAAGCAGCGGTAAGCGCGAAACGAAACGCGACGCGACGCTGCACGCTGCACAGGGTGACTCAAAACATAACTTTATTTACTACGCGAAAAGATACACATTTCATTGTTTGAATTCAGAATAAATTGCACCACGCGTAATCTAAATTCAAACCATGAAATGTGTATCTTTTCGCGTAGTAAATAAAGTTATGTTTTTAGTCGCTCTGTGCAGCGTGCAATGTCGCGTCGCGTTTCTGTGTGAGCTGACGCTTACTGAAGTCCTTTGAAGGACAACAGATTGTTTATAACTCAGGAAATACTGTGGTAAACACAGACGATGCCGTTAATTATTCAGTACAGTACCCTTAGCCACAACCACCAGAAGTCATTGTCAAATTTTGTATAGAAAAATAACCAGCAAGGTCACAGCGAACGTAACGAGAACTATAAATCAGTACACATTTGACTTACAAAATAGATCGAATTTAACTATTCGAATTCGATAATGGTGCTAGATAAGGGTACTGTTCTTAAACACTTTGAACCCACTGGCTCCGCCTTACAACAGACTTTTATTGCGCGTGGATACACCTGTTATGTTATTAAGAAATTTAAAGCCACCCAAACTTTGCTACGGCACTAGGTTTCAAGTCAAAGCTTTGCACCGGAACGTAGTAGAAGCCACAATTCTGATCGGACCTGCTCAGACCGGACCGAACTGGAGATTCTTATTAATGTTTCATATTTTGGGACTCTGCAGTCCTTATAGCACTGTAGTCACTGGAACTCGCCACCACATTAAAGTTCTTATCTGTTTTAACCAGACATCTTCTAAGGTTCCAAGTTTCTAGAGATTTAGTTTCCTCTAGTAGTATTATATGTCGTCCAAGGTAAAGAGATACTACATTTGTGGATTACAATAAAATAAAGTACTTACTGCATATAAAATAAACTATTTTAAATACTCTAAAAACTAAAAATAACAAATAATAAGTTAAGATAAAAGTCCTAAAATTCCTATCAATAAAGAATCTAAATAAAGAATTCCGAATTGTAACACCCATAAACAAACGTTCACGAGTATATCATAACCGTTATATTTTTTCGCGACACCATAATAATTTCGGTGCAACTAAATAAATTCGGTATTTACCTCTTAATTTGACACTTAAAAGCTTTTAAAATAAAAGTTGTACCTAACTATACCAATGAGGATCCGAACGATTTTAGTTGAGAATGCAGATTTATAGAGCTAAGGATTCCATAAAATACAGTGGTAAAATTTTTGTTGTATGGCAAATAAATATTGACGAAGTTATGACCAAATTTCTAAACGAATTTTCGTCTAGCCCCGTGTTGGCTGTGACGTCACAGAGCTCTAGCGCTCGGGCGCGAGCGTGCGTAGAGACGCTACTAAAGTTCGACCGGAGTGAACCACGATCGAGCACTGCGACGTCACACGTTTCGGCCGCCAGTGAATATTGGATACCATAAGTTAAAAAATCGCAACGAATGAACCGATTCCGACAATTAATTTAAAAAGCTTATTAGCATTTTACTGTTGACTTTGAGTTGATTTGCTGACCTAGTAATGATCCTCATTACCGAGGTTATAAAAGAGATACTTTTAATAAGGGCCATTTAAGTCACGTTTTGATATCTTCGGCACGTTCCCCTTGGGCCTTACGCAACAGTATGTTGTAAGTTTTCGATACTTATTTTTGCCAAAATCAAACGAAATTCAACAGTTCCCAAAATTTATACGTTTTTGTTCATCTATAAATGAATCACAGTAATTCTTACTACTAATACTGACAAATTTTCTAAAGCTATCACATCATTAAGTAGTACTACTTCCATCCTAGACAGTCATTTTAGGTTACCCCGAATTTGACACGTTTTTTATATTTTCAAATATTCAACCACCAACTTTATATTTTTTAATTAGTAAGCAGATTGATGAAAAAGTTAATTTGATAAAAATTTGCTACCAGGATCACTAAGTCCACGCGGAAGAAGACGGGGGCTATTATAATTGCGAAAGTGTCTTGTGCTTGTGTCTGTACACATTTAAACCACTAAACCCATTCTACCAACGAATTTAGTATAGATATAGCCGCAGTCCCGGGAGAGGACATAAGATAATTTTTATAGGTTGAAAAGGGGGGGATGGAAATTTGTATGGGAAATCAATTGAACCAAGCAGAGGAAGTCACGGGCACTCATCAGTTAACTATAATAGTACCACCACCGCGCCATCTTCCTATAACAAGACTAGCTGTCCCAGCGAACTTCGTACCGCCATAAAAAAACTGGTGGTAGAAGGATGAAAATTTAGGGTTGTATGTATTTCTGTATGATGTATCTTAAAAAATAAAAATGAAAAAAAAAATCCAAGAAAAAATTTTAAGGATGGACCACCCTTAAATTTTATGGGGATGAAAAATAGATGTCCGGTTCACAGACCTACTGAATATGCCTATAAAATTTCACGAAAATCGGTCGAGCCGTTTCGGAGTAGTTCAATTACGCACACCGTGACACGAGAATTTTATATATTAGAAGATATTACCGACTCAAGCGACCACATACTAGCGTTCCGGATAGATGACTCCACATCACCTCATGTTCAGTGACGGTAGAGTTCAGATTTGCCCGATACAGCATTTCTACCTACCACGCCAACTATCCTCAGCTTGCATCTGCAAAAATGCTTTAAAAGGCTTCCTATAACCTAGGTTGGGTTATAGGAGGCAGGGAACACATGAGTTGCCAAAACATTCATGGCCTTGACGCTATATAAGCGATACACCAAGCGATGACAAGTGACAACAAAATCTACTAGTATAGTACTACTACTTTACAGTCGCTGTGCTCTTTGCTAAGCCAAAGGTCGTGGTCGTGCTGTAACATAGTGTTATTACCGGTTAGCTCAATGTTGTATACTCTAGTCTAAAATGAATACCCACTCAGGTTAATAAAAGGTAAAAGTTAAATAATCTAAAAAACCCGACTACTTTATTATTGTTTCAAATAAACATTGAAAAGAAAAAAACAAGTCCGGTTGTACACGCACATCATGACGCTTCCCGGTATGAATTTGCGCGCCTTGACTGTGGCGCGCATCATTGGTGCGTAAGACAAAGCGGCGTGCCTGCGCGCCGGCCAATCAGCGAACCAGCCCCTAACAAGGGATATACTGGGTTTTTCCCGGATGTAACGGTCATCGGCATCGGGGGCGCTCTACGGCTTCGGAACGACCACTTCGGCACGGTTGCTTTAAGCGGACGGACGGACCGGCTTCCTGGTGTAACGGTGATACAGCGAGGACCACGGGGCCTCCAAACACAAGCGGCTATTTGCACGGTTTCGCCAGCTCAAGCCCCTCTATCACAGCAAAGGTAAGCGCACTTTTCTTACTGGGAACATGATTGTGTGTGTGTACCTCGGATAAAACCTATCTCTGTCTCACCTACTAGCCCTATCGGTATACAACAAGTCCACTATAATCTACGGCGGTCGCAGTAAGTCATTAAACGGAACACCGGTAGTCTAATAATTCTGTTAAGTAAATAACAAAGCTGCTCTAACAGTCGGGACCCATTAGATATTCAAAATGGATCAATTATTTAAAATAATGGGTCCCGACTGTTAGAGTAGCTTTGTTCCTTACTTAACAGAATTATTAGACTACTGGACTTGATTTTTTTTTTCAGTTTTTATTTGAAATAATACATAATTAACTAGTAGTTTCTTGATTTTTTAAATTTACCTTTTTTATTTCACATTTTTTAGTTAGGATTATAAGACGGTATATATCGCAGTCTTGTCACTTCGGTAAGGGACTTAATATCGCGGGGATTATTTAGTATCTTGCGGTGGTCTAAAAGAGACCTTCCCACCAGGGTCAAGGCTACAGGCGGGCCTTAATTTTCGCAAAAATGTGTGAAGTTAAATCAAGTCGTTACTATTATCTAACACATGTAAATTTTACAGTTTACTAGTACTTATACAAAAAGTCATCTTTTGCTTATATTCTTTTTAGTAGATAATATGAAATTTATTCACTTTTATTCGTCGACTATCTAAAATTGGCAGTGGCTGACATCCGTCTCATAATTTGTTTTACCTGGATAATTCACAGAAACCAAATATGTTGATGCCAACGGTTAACTTCAAACGTTGTTAAGCACCCCATATACAATACCAATCAATGACGTTAATGTCGCAGGTTGACGAAAGCAATAATTCCCGTCTGTTGTTTTCTATACTGGTGGCAACTGCCTTAGATGGCTTAATTAAATAATTATACAATCACCAAAGCATTGTTTATAATATTCGATTAAACTAAAGACGTAGGATGAAATTTCCATCAATCATCACCGAATATATAGATTAACATCTTTATCGTTCTCTTTTAAAGCGTTCCCAGTTACAGGCTTTCTGGCCTACCCTTTTTTATTGGTTGATAGTGTTACTTCCACCTATCGATCAGGCTGCTACCAGCCTAGTAGGTATTGGTACAATCAAAACAAATTATTTTTCAAATATTTAATTTCTATTTATGAACAAAATCAGAATAATCTTGTATTAAATGAGCAAATAACGAATCACTATTTACCAAAAATGCTAGGTAACTTTTACAAATTTAATAAAATAAACCTATTACTTAGTTTATTTTTAAATCATTTTCATCAATTAAATATTGTTATTCAAACTATCTATACTAATATTATACAGATGCAAGAGTTATATGTTTGTAACAAATAATCTCTACTGAACCGATTTCGAAAATTAATTCACCATAAGGTAGCTACATTATTTATTATATTTTCAAGCATTAAACTCAATATTGTTGATTAATCTGCTCGACTTATAAATGTAAAGAAAATATTTACTTGAAAAATCTCATCTGGCAACTTCTCTGAGAGGAAACTTTTTTAGAAAAAAAGGGGGTTGCACTCCGGGAGTGCCGGCAAAAGTGAAAACTTGAATATAACGTTGTGCATTTTTGATATTTTGTATTGGTTAGGGAATAATTTTGCACGAATTGCTTTAATTATCAGTAACACTTTATATACACGAATTTTACGAATACACAGCAGTGTGGCCACTACACAGACGGTCGAGCCATATGCGCGTGGCACGCTGTAACATAAACACACACGAACATTCGCGCAAGCGCCCTGCGCCGCCTAAACGAAACAGCAGGCGCAGGCATACTTCCTCTCCTACGCCGCGCCGGCTGTCTACTCTCCATCCGTCTTACGAATTTTCGATCAGGTCACGTGTCCTGACGCGAGTTTAACATTTTTTACCCATTAAAACGGTTTTCTCTCATCTCTCTCTCTCTCTCTCCATTACAAAAAAAGTGTACAAATACAATATTTGTCGAAATGACATAGCGTAAAAGGCAAAGTTTATCGTCTTTAAATAAGTACTTCATATAGGATTACATAATGCGAGTAGCCAATTTTTGTTTTCCTCGTAGGTTTTTTCTACGTTTATAAACACCAAAATTTATCAAAATTCCCGCAGTCTAACACCTGCATAGCACACCGCGCTATGACTTTGTCATCGTTGTAACTTTCATAAATATTTGCGCAAATGACATAGTGTAAAAGGCAAAGTTTATCGTCTTTAAATATCAAAAGCGATAAAGTATTTGTTTTTATAAAAAATACTTTTTTTCTAGTAAACTTTTCTTAAGATTTAAACATCTAGCAGTTAAATGCTTACAAAATAAAAACATAACTATAATTGCTATTTCCTCTTTCAAATGTTTAATACTTGTAAAAGGTATTTCATTTGACATTGTGGGTTAGCTACAATGCGAAGAGATGGCGCTGCCTTGCAGCCTAAGGCTAGAAAAAATTCGACGTGGCCGTCAGGGCCGCGGTAGGTCTAGTAAAGTTTTCTTAGGATATAAACATCTAGCGGTTAAATACTTACAAAATGAAAATATAAAAAAATAATTTGTTAATACAAAATGTACATCTTGGAAATGGATATGAAATAATATTTTATTTTTGATTGACTATTTTAGGTATAATGGCTTACAGATAAAAAATGGATAGCATAATTATATCTATTTTTTATCTGTAAGCCATTATCGTCCAGGACTCTCTGTAGAACTATTTAAGAGATACATTTCCACTGCACATTCTATTCATGTAACTTTTATTGTATTTGCAGTGCAGGCCAAAATGGTTCGCATATGGGAGATATTTTCCATCTGACATGCCACTTATTGTTGTTATATTTTGGCCAATTCATTGAATAACTACATAAATTATTGGAACGAAAGTTCCTTATGGCAGGCTTGGAGGGGATAGGGATTTTGCTGCGCGACCGAACTGAAAAAAATGTGATAGTAAAACCGTAAGAAAAAATGCGTGGAATAAAACCGTTAAATGAGACGTGCGCAGGCGGGACGAAGTTCCTTACGGCAGGCTTGGAGGGGATAGGGATTTTGCTGCGCGACCGATCTGAAAAAAATGTGATAGTAAAACCGTAAGAAAAAATGCGTGGAATAAAACCATTAAATGAGACGTGCTCATAGGGGTGGTAGAGCGACAAGGGTGCATCACTGAAATATTGTGATATTACACCAACACTGAATATGTGTGAAGTTATAGGGGGTGGTACAGCGACGAGGGTGCATCACTGAAATATTGTGATACTACACCAACACTGAATATGTGTGAAGTTATAGGGGGTGGTAGAGCGACGAGGGTGCATCACTGAAATATTGTGATATTACACCAACACTGAATATGTGTGAAGTTATAGAGGGTGGTAGAGCGACGAGGGTGCATCACTGAAATATTGTGATATTACACCAACACTGGATATTTGTGAAGTTATATCAAGCTGTGGACCAGTAACGCCTGTGAGACATGGTTATGATTACAAGGTGAGTACTTATCAGGAGGTGGCAGAGCGACGGGGGTGCATCACTGGATTATTGTGACATTGTAGTATATTCTAAACTGTGGGCCAGTCCTGCCTAGCATCCTTTACGAACGCTAGCGGGACATGATAATAAGGTGCGTATGTAGGGGGTGGCACAGCTACGAGGGTGCAGCACTGGAATATTGTGACATTACACGAAATCTGGATATTTGTGACGTTATACCGAGCTGTGGACCAGGAACGCCTATCATCTGCTGTAAACTTAAGCTAGACATGATAACAAGATGACAACAAGGTGTACCTGGTGTAACAAGGTGACCTTAACAGGGGGTGACAGAGCGACGGGGGTGCAACCCCAAATTATTGTGGCATTATACCAACACTGGATTATTGTCGTATATTATACTAAACTGTGCTTAAGTCCAGGGGGTGGCAGAGCGACGGGGCTGCATTACTGGATTATTGTGACATTGTAGTTTATTATAATCTGTGGGCCAGTCCTGCCTAGCAATCTTTACGAATACTAGCTGACCGAACTGAAAAAAATGTGAAAATGTGATAGTAAAACCGTAAGAAAAAATCCGTGGAAAAAAGTGCGTGGAATAAAACCGTTAAATGAGACGTGCGCAGGCGCGACGAAGTTCCTTACGGCAGGCTTGGAGGGGATAGGGATTTTGCTGCGCGACCGAACTGAAAAAAATGTGATAGTAAAACCGTAAGAAAAAATCCGTGGAAAAAAGTGCGTGGAATAAAACCGTTAAATGAGACGTGCGCAGGCGCGACAGTCGCATACACAAGCGAGTTTGCAATTTGTGTCGATTCTACATTAGCCGAAGGAACTTCGTTCCTACCTGGTGTCCCACGACACCACATCATTTTTATCTATATGTTATTATTACGTATAACCTATATTATTGTTAAATTTCATTAAAACCATTCAGTATTTTTTGGGTGAAAGAGTTACAAAGATCCATACAAACGTAAGATTGAAATTAAAAGAGCAAGTGATTAATATACAACTTTAAATCGCTGTAGATCCTAAACAGACACATTAAATGAAAAATGGTGTGAGCAACCTAAACATGATTTTCGATTATCTAGACAATGATACTCGCCACGGCATATTTCGTCATCCTATTTATTTTCCTTTCTCACAAAATGGCGCATAATTATTATTGTCCCCATATTGAATTTCGATTACTATTATATCTTTAGTAGCACTCCCATGATTAAGACGAATCGATTGACGTATAAATCATCTAAATAGGTGCAGGCGTTTGGTCTCTTGTGTGCCACAAAGGAAATACATACATATATAGACTGTTACACACTATACCCTGTCTACGCTGCGCGGTCTTGCATTGCGCATTCGGGTAAAAATAGGGTATAAAAATGTTTAAATAAAGCGGCGTAATCCTCTGAAAGCCTTTTTGTTAACCACTTCCAAATGTTTAATACTTGTCAAGGTATATAGTTGAGATTTTAGTGTATATTTTAAGTTATACGAAGATGGAATCCAGATAGCTATTTTTTTTAAACAACATTGCATTAAAAATACTTAAATTATATAACATTGTGGGTTATCTAAAATGCGAAGAGATAGGGTTGCCTTGCACACTAAAAATACTAGAAAAAAATCGACACGGCCATTAAGGTTGCGGTAGCATAATTGGTCAGTACATCCGCCCGGGTTCGCGTTCCGTCTGCTGCAGACGTTTTTCTAGTAAAAATTCCTTTAGATTTAAAAATGTAGCTGTTAAATGCCTAAAATAAATATAACAAAATAAAATATATAGAATAAACTTATTGAGTAGGATTATCATTAATTATGAGTACCTGTAAGGCTGCAGAAATTCAGCGCACTTCTTCGCCTTGTTCCGTGACTCGAGAGTGGCGGCGTGGAGCGGCCGACACCGCACAAGCGGTCGCTGGCTCGCTACCACCTCTGCAGCTGTAAACACCAGACAATCAATTTTTCTATACTATAATTATAAAGCTGAAGAGTTTCTTTGTTTAGATGAACACGCAAATCTAAGGAACTAATGGTTCGATTTCAAAAAATATCTTTGTGTTTGTTAGTGCATTTATCTTGGATACCTTTAGTCTACAATAGAACGCTACGACCATTAGCAGCGGAGCATTGATGAAAAATGTTGCAAAACCACTTTTCATCGATGCTCCACTCAAAAATGTTCCGTTTGAGAGCTTCCGTTTGCCTGTGCTGCGTAAACAGTTAAAGTTGCACGAAAATATCACGGTCATTTTTAATATGACGGTATTTTTTGTTCTATAAAAAAGTCCACGACAGTAATCTTTTAAGTTTGACTAACTATAACCTTTTTCCTCAAATTAACGTGGTTGAAACCGCAGGGTCCTCAAGTATGTTATATTAGGTTACGCGCTATCATTTACAGTGTAAAATAAACATAGATGTAGGTACTTTGAGCTCGTTTTACTCCGCAGTTGAAAAAACATGTTCTTCGTTATAATGGCGAAATAAATTGAGATTCCGTAAAAATTGCAACTTTATCTTAATGCTGTTCTTAAGTTGAAAGAGGCATAAATCCGCTGCCACTGACTGTCGAACATCAGAATCAGCGGAGTCTTAGTAACAGGGTTCCGTTTACGCCATTTTGGTACGGATATTTAAAAATTACTGCTATAGTAAAGGGCTCTCTTTATTTTATTATTATTTGCTTCGTTCCGCTGCTCCGTTTTATTCTGTTTGGATAATGACAAGGATAGACTGCTGTCAAATTCAATTACAGGTTCTAATATCATGCCGAAATCCACGGTAGTAGAATAAATAAATATTTCCACCACTCACACCGTAGGCTTGTGTTATGGGATACTATTATAACGAATAGAATACATATACTGATAGAAATACATATTACATATCCATGACTGGAGTACAAATGCTCGTATTCAACACACAAACACCTGCCCCCACCGGGATTCGAACCCGGGACCACTCTCGAGTGGGCGACACCTTGTAACCCGGCATACAAACCACTCAGCCACGGAGGTCGTCAATACTCATTCTGTGAAAATTCGAACAGTTTACATGTTTAAGTAGTATATTGTTCTTTAGAGACATACATTGATCGGAATTGAAACCCTAAAATGCAATCAAAATTTCCGATTATAAGTTTAATGAAATAATAATGGTCTGTGAATAGCTGTCGTATATATCTGTTTGTTCGCTCGGTGTCATTGACCAGTCCAGCCCCAAGTTTACCAACGCGTTCACTGCCGCAAGATGTAAACATAGCGTTTACACTTGACATAAATGCGTGGCCGCATTATAATTTTCATACATTTATTAATTGCAATGCTGTATGCGTTGCAACTTTTTGATAAAATTCAGTTAATAAAAGATTTGGATATACTTGTTTTTGTTTAATACTTTTCGTCAACAGTGACACATGATTTAAATAAAAAGAAATATCTTTTGTGCCATATAGTTTTTATGAGAAAAAATCACGTAGTGCATCTTTTGATACAATTTTAAAGTAATATTTTAGAATTTGCAGATTAGTAATTAGAAAAAATTGCAGATGGTTTGCAAAGAAAATTTGCAAAATTAGTAAGTGAACAATGGTTTTCATTAAACACTATTGGAAATGATAATAAGTACATAACAAGAATCTACTTTAGAGCTAGATTTTATCAGGAAAAGAAAACAGTTGTTTCAAAATAATATTATATTATACACAACAGATTATATAATCAGTCGAAAAATATTTTATTGTCAGGTATAACCGAATTGTGAAATAAATTTGCTCGCATTTGAGGTCATCGTCTAAAGGAGGGGTTATATTATTACGATATCACAGTGTTGAGTATATGTCATAACCACGACAAACCAACACAGGGGTCTAAAATGGCGACATTGAAAAAAACATCTAAGATAGAATTTCATTTATTGTTCATTTGATGTAACATAGATTAAATTAACTTGTACTATTCTAAGTTGTGATAAATTAAACTTATAAAGATCCACTTAATAAACCTGCTATGACGCTATTTTAGACCACCAGGACGGCTTTCAAAATTGGGTTACACAGCTTTAAATGATCTAGCCATATTGTAATGCCGGGTTTAAAGAAGTTCCTAGCAAACATTTGCTAATTATTGTGCAGAACTGCAGACACGGCCGTTTCTTTTCGGACGTGCCTCTTGAACGACAAGCATTTCGCAAACGCAGCCAAGCGGGTCAGTGACCGAGTCAAGAGGTGACCGAACTATGTGTAAGAATCAAGGGTCATTAAGTAAGAGTATGGCATCCAAATATGTGTTAAACACGAAGCTGCAATAATAGAGCAATCACAAATTCGTGCCTTACTTGAAATTTAATTACATTTAATAAGCTATTAAGTACTACTAGTTCTTTTTATAGAAAAAGCGATCCCCTAGAGGTTGTTTAAGCAAGATAAAAGAAATATTCATCAGTTAAATACTTAAAAAAAAAATAAGATAAAAGATCTTAAAACGCAACTACAGAATCACCGATCAAGTCGTTCACATCTAAATTATCCAGGGACTCAAACACACGCATTGACCGAAGTAGGTAAAAAAATATTTTTTGTTTCTCGCAACAGGGAACAACTTAGTTTAACTGTTGAATTGTTAAAAAGTCCACTTCTCTACACTGTCAATTTATACATAACAACAGGTGACCTGCAGATGAGCAAATTATTCTCAGCCCAGTCACTTTAAATGTCACGTACTAGCCTCATCTAAGAATGGAATATTTTTCAATATATCTGGTGAACATATAGGCTTTATTTATGATAATTCCAAGAGTATTTGGATTATTGAAAAATATTAACAAATGTAATCAGGTGTTTTAACTCGAGTTTAACATATTATTAGTTATATACAATATCCTACCAAAAATTGTTGCCGCAATGTGTGGCTATTGTAATAAGGTGCTAAAGTATATAATTATAATGTTGCCCGCGGCTTTGTCCACGTGGAATTAGTGATTTGGTAGTTTATTTTTCACTCGATCTGCTTTTTCAATCAAATGCGGATTTTCATTAATTATTCATGATTAATGATGAGAATTTAAGAGCCTGATGATATTTCAAATTACCTTTTTCTATTTTGATTTTATTGTTGAATACTTTCAGCAATTACTGTTTGTCCGTTTTTAAATGAGCGATAGGTAGATAAATTATGTAAGGACAATAGATATTTTGACTCACTTCCAGTTATTAGGTCTTTACCTATGAAATTGTCGTTTTTCATGAAATAAGTTAACGCACCTTTTTTTCAATATTTTTTATTACATAAGTGAACCATGCAATCAATGCTTTTGCCAACGTAGTGATAGCTCATTGATGCCCCTTTTGTAAAAGTCTAGTGGATGCGAGGCAACAAATTCTTCAAATGCATTTTAAACTACGTCTCGGTTATTGATTTTTTCCCCGCTAAGAAGTCTTCCAAATTCTGGAAAAAGTAAAAGAGTCTGTAAGGGGTAATGTCTGGTGATTACGGTGGATGACGGAGAACTTCAAACCCCAGCTCTCGTAACTTGGAGACCGTCTACTCCTCATGCATGAATATTTTTTAATGAGTTCAGTAATTCAATATTGTATTACTCCATGGAGTGGAGCTCTTAAAACTATTTTATTCCCCCTCGAGCAAGCTCAGTGAGCCATTTTAAAAAGTATCCAATCACTTCCCTTCCCATATCTTACGCATCAACTTTACAAATACTTTAATGTGTTAACTGTTCGCCAGCTTTTCATTATGCACACCATATTAAAACAACACACCATTTCTCCTTTTGGTTCTGCTATCACTAACAAAAGACGGAAAGATATAGTCTGCATCTCTACACATGATTCAAAGTACATATCTTCATAGATTCTCTCCTTTCTTTTAAAATAAGTTAAACCGAGTGTTATGTATTTACCCATTAAACTATTTTAACTGTAGAAATGCAGTATTTAATTATTTGCACAGCCTGACATTTGAGCAGACCGAAGAATTAATTTTTATTTTGTAAATAAACTAAGATAACTCCATAATTTACATTTAATAACATATAAAACGATTACTTTAAGTTCTGTTTTAATTTAGTTGTTAATTTATTAAACATAAAATTTATTATTTTAAATCATAGAAGACTGAAATACAGGTACGATTTATACTGTAACCTAGTTCAGGCATCCTTTATTTTGTACTTTTTATTATTACTATTATGTAATGTTGACCTTCTTTGAATAAAGATATATTATTATTATTATGAAGTTCGCGCGTTATCACTTCTCCATCATCGTGTTCAGTTCTTCACAGTACACATCTGCAGTAATGCTCATTCCGTCTTGTAAGAAGCTATGGTGAATGACACCGGCGCAAGAATACCAAACAGCGACCGACCATCACTTCATAGAGGTCAGTTTTCGTTCGAGGCATTGTTTATATGCTAAACTAACTAACTAACTAATGCTTACTTTGGGGCTAGGCTAATTGGTGTGAGTGTCGGAAATATTTATTTTTATTTTTTATTTTTAAACTAGGATCTAACCAACTTGCTGAGGCGCTTGCGATTGTCAAACAGAATCCATTTTTCGTCGCAAATAACAATGCGATTTAACAAGGCTTCGTTTGTGTGCCTGTTGAGCAATGCAAGTCTCGACTCGACGCGTGCTTCGCGCTAGCGATCATTCGTGGGGTACCCATTTGTCAAGGTTTTTTGCCTTGCCAATTTGACGCATATCGCCCAATATTGTTTTGATGCTTAAATCGAAAGCTGCTCGTTCAGCTGTAGATTGAGAATCATCAGCGCCTTTAATTCGTCATTGTTGACTTTAAAGTTTTCGGTCGACCACAGGGTTTATTTCATAGATCGAAATTTCCACAACGGAATCGGGCTAACCAATAACGGTTGGTGTGACCTCTAGGCCCAAGTTCATCAACTATTGTTTAACCTCCGTT